AAAATAGGCTCCAACATCCTTTGGCATCTCGCAGGGATGCTGAGGGAGGCTGGGTGGAGCACAGGCGGGTGTTACTATGCTTATCAACTTCAAACCAGCATCTGATGCACTCTCAATGTCCAAAGGTGACCAGCACGTTTACTTTTTAGTATCCTGATGAACTATTTATTTATTTATGAGAGAGAGAGAGAGCGCTCCCACCCCCTGATTTACTTCTCAAACCCTTGCCACAGCTAAGGTTGAGCGATGCTGAAGCCGGGAGCTGGGAGCTGGGGAGCTCAGTGTGGGCCTTCCACACGTGTGGCTGGGGCCCAGCTCTTTGAACTATCAGCACTACTTCCCAGGGCGTGCATTAGCAGGAAGCTGGAATCAGGAGCAAAGCCGGACTTGAACACAGGCACTGTGATATGGGGTGTGGGTGTCCCAAGCCACGTCTCAGCCACTACACAAAAAGCTCACCTCTCACAGACTTTTTATATATTTGATATATCTCAGTGTCTTACTGTCACCGTTCTTTTTTTCTTTTTAAAAGCACATTTAGGCCGGTGCCGTGGCTCACTAGGCTAATCCTCCGCCTTGCGGCGCTGGCACACCGGGTTCTAGTCCCGGTTGGGGCGCCGGATTCTGTCCCGGTTGCCCCCTCTTCCAGGCCAGCTCTCTGCTATGGCCAGGGAGTGCAGTGGAGGATGGCCCAGGTGCTTGGGCCCTGTACCCCATGGGAGACCAGGAAAAGCACCTGGCTCCTGGCTCCTGCCATCAGATCAGCACGGTGCGCCAGCCACGGCAAAGGAAGACCTTTCTCTCTGTCTCTCTCTCTCACTGTCCACTCTGCCTGTCAAAAAAAAAAAAAAAAAAAGCACATTTAGGCCGGTGCCGTGGCTCACTAGGCTAATCCTCCGCCTTGCGGCGCTGGCACACCGGGTTCTAGTCCTGGTCAGGGCGCCACATTCTGTCCCGGTTGCCCCTCTTCCAGGCCAGCTCTCTGCTGTGGCCCAGGAGTGCAGTGGAGGATGGCCCAAGTCCTTGGGCCCTGCACCTGCATGGGAGACCAGGAGAAATTTTAAAAAAAGCATATTTAAACATTTTGGTCCTTTATTTTTATTTATTTATTTATTTTTTTGACAGGCAGAGTAGACAGTGAGAGAGAGACAGAGTGAAAGGTCTTCCTTTTGCCGTTGGTTCACCCTCCAATGGCCGCCACAGCCAACTTGAGAAGACTCCCATGGCCAAAGACAAAATTATTTCAGCCTGAAATGAAGGTGGGGGCTGCACTATGGCACGTGGGTGAAGCTACCACTTGCAATGCCAGCATCCTGTATAGGCACCAATTTGAGTCCTGGCTGATGCTCTTGCTAACACACCTAGGAAAACAGCAAAAGATGGCCCAAGTGCTTGGGGCCCTGCCACCCATGAGGGAGACCTGGATGAAGCTCTTGGCTTTGGCCATAATGCTGTTGCACTATCTGGGGAATAAATCACCAGATGGGAGATCTCATGTCTCTCCCTCTATGTAACTCTGTCTTTTTTTTTTTTTTAAGATTTATTTATTTATTTATTTGAAAGGAAGAGTTACAGAGAGGCAGAGGCAGAGAGAGGGGAGAGGAGAGGAGAGGAGAGGAGAGGAGAGGAGAGGAGGGGAGGGGAGGGGAGGGGAGGGGAGGAGAGGGGAGGGGAGAGGAAGGGAGGAGAGGAGTCTTCCATCTGCTGGTTCACTCCCCAAATGACTTCAATGTCTGGAGCTGCGCTGATCCAAAGTCAGGAGCCAGGAGCTTCCTCCAGGTCTCCCACGCATGTGTAGGGGCCCAAGGTCTTGGGCCATCTCTGCAGCTTTTCTAGGTCATAGCAGAGAGCTGGATCAGAAGAGGAGCAGCCAGGACTCAAATTGGCACATGTATGGGATGCCAGCACTGCAGGTGGTGGCTTTACCAGCTACGCCACAGTGCCAGCCACATTTACGTGGTTCCAACATCAAAATGGCACAACAAGGTGTTCTTAGCGTTTAACAGGTGAAGAAACTGGAGCTGAGGAGGAGTAATACCTGAGTGGAGAGAGGCTGGGAGGGGGCAGCAGGGTTCCCTGGGGGACAGACCCAGAGCAGGTGCGAATGTGTTCAGGGTCAAGCCCTCCAGGTCCTCCAGCTGCTCAGCCTGCAACTGGCTGATAATCGCTGAACTCACGGCTTTGCAGTCCTCAAGGCCAGTGTCCGAGTGGCTCAGGGGGTGGCCGGCTCCTGGGGTGCAGCACAGGCTCTCACGATGCCGCTCAGCCACTTGGTCCCAGCGCGGCCTCCCTTATCCACCGCCATCCCCTCCTGCCCCTGCTGCCTGCAGCAGGAGCCCTCAGAGCTACACCCAGCCAGCTCTGGCCCCTCCCTCGCCTAGCCTGGGGTCCCGAGCTTCCTGGCCCCTTTCAGAAGCTATCAAAGCCCCCATTCTCTGCACACAGCTGTGCCAGCATTCACCCAACACCCCCCGCCCCAGTCAGCCCCACTCCCACATCCCCACGGTATAGGACCCAGGTGCCCGTTGATGTGCAGGGTCTCAGCTGCCTGGGCCCCCCACCCGCAAGCAAGCCGGGGAGACAGGGGCAGATGTTCCCGGGGCTGCAAGGACCAGCTGTGGAGGGGCAGCCGGCAAGCAGCCCAGGGCTAGCTCTGCAGACAGGGGGAGCTCCGGACGCAGGAACTTGGAGGGAGAGTCTGTTTGCTCCACTTGGGTCATGGCCTCAGCTTTGGCTTGGATGGGATGCTGGGGGGTGGAGGGGAGGCAGGAGCTGGATTGTTCTCATCCAGAGAGGTTGGAAAAGTCTCCAGGGCCTCGGAGGCTGGGAGGCAGCCAGCCGGGCTGCATGTGGGAGAGGGAGGAGAGCTACCCACGCTCGCCCTCCCTCCCTTTCACTCCACCTCCTCTCGCTCCCCTGGGAGAGACGCCTGGGGGACCCTGGCCTGGGAGAATGGAGACTCGCTCTCTGGTCAGGGTCCAGTTCCGTGCTGTGTGACCCAGGACAGTCGCTTTGCCTCTCTGGACCTCCATTTCCTCATCTAGAAACACACAAGTCTCCCGACACCTTCTCCTCCAGTGTCGGAGCCTTCAGGTCTACCTGAACCCAACTTTCAATCTCCCTGCTCCCCCGGGTCCTGCTGCCTTCAACCAGTCCCTGGAGACCCTTTGGTGAGGATGGGGCCAGACAGAGGGAGGTCTTGCCTCCTCTCAGAAAGCCAACAGCAAACGGCAGGGGGAGAGTCATGGCCATGGGTCTGGACACAAGGCTCTGTCATTGGAAAGAAAGCTCCGGATCAGTAACAGGCAGTTCAAAGCGCAGGTTTGGTTTTGGCATCCATTTTCCCAGCTGGGAACACCGGAAGAGTTCTGAGGAAGCCATAGGAAAGTCCGAGGAAGCCATGGGAAAGGACTCTGCTTCCAAACCACTCACGGGGGAGTGGTCCACTGACCTGCTGGCCAGATCCCGCACGGGGTTGGGGGTCCCTGTGCTCAAGCATGTGTGTGGCCCACAAAGGAAACGAACCCGACTTTGCTGAACCCAAGCCCTTCGCAGGGGCTGGGGACTGCCCAGCGTGGCAGCGCTCAGCCAGGCCCCTGCGCAGAAGGCAGGTCCAGAGACACACAGCCTGTTCTGAGGGCTGCCACTGCCGGTGGCAAAACAGGTGCCTGGCCCCAGCGCCTGTGCTCCAGAGTCCTCATTGTCACCGAAGCAGCTGCGTGTTCTCACGCCGGGTCTGGCCTCCCCCCAGGGGTCTGCCTGGTGGAACAGACTGTCTGGCACCAGCCCTTGTGCTGCTGGCCTTGGCCAAGGTTGGACACCCTCAGAGCGCTGCTGCGCGTGCCCATGCTTTGTGGCCACGAGGGTGAGAGGCGAGGAAGGTCACTCTCTCTGGCGTCTCTCTCACAGCCCGGCTTCTCCCACATGAGAACTGGGGTTCTAGCTGAGCCACCACTGGGATTGGATTTCAGCCGCTGGGGGTGCCTGGCTCAGCCTGGCTGGCCTCTGGTCCTGTGGTGCCCACATGGAGGCAAGTTCCACAGAGTCCTCGCAGGGGTAGGCTGGACGCGTGGGGGAGGGAGTTCCTTCCAGCTCCGACACGCAAAGTGGGAGGCTGCCCGGGCACTGCCCAACCTGTCCCCAAGGACCTTCTCAGAGCCTCTCTGTCCTGTAGAGGACTTGCGGCTGCATTCCTAGAGTCCGAAGCAGTGCCTGGCCCCTGTTGGCATTCGGCTCTTATCTGTCGGATGAAATGAGCGAGCTGCGGGCTCCTCCTCTCCCAGCACCTCGCTCTGTCCCTTGGTCTTGCATCCCTGCCCGGGGCGTTTTTCTTGTTGAAGAACCTTACCAGGCGTCACCTCCAGGTCTTCCTGCCCTGTCCCTACAGGAGACGGACGGGCCTCTGGGGAGGAGGCGGAATCCTCCATCCAGATCCTCAAGGAGCTGGGGCGGGGCGGGTATGGTGAGCTCCACAAAGCCTTTTAAGACCATGCCCACAGCACCGGGGATGGAATCCAGGCAGTGGGGAGTGGGGAGCTGCAGCCTCCAGCACGGAGCATGGCAGAACCCCCGGGGAACAGTCTGCAGAGATGGCTGGGGGCCTGCCATGGGGCTGCGTTCCCATTGCAGGCACCCCTTTTGCCTTGGGGTATTTTGGGGGTGCTCCTGGAGTTTACGGGGATCAAGGCCTCCCACAAGCTGTCCTTGGTGCCAGCACTGTCGTCCAGCGATGAGAATTCAGGCAGCAGGCTGTCCTGCCCATAGTCCAGTCCCTGGGTGGGGGCGGGGAGGGGGTTGCCAGGAGTCCCAGGAGGGAGGAGGGAACTGAGCCTGGGAAAGCAGTGAAGCAGGGGCCTGGGAGCCCGAGGCGGGCGGCTATCATTGGTATTCTGGGCACCAAGGAGTCCCGGACACTGGGCAGAACCCAGGGCCCACCCCCTGGCGCCAGGCTGCACATTCAGCAGCCCCAGCCCTGGCCCTGTGGGCTCCCAGCAACGCCCGTGTTTTGCACATTGGTTGGCGTGACCAGCGATGTCCCTTCCCCGTGCCCCCTGCTCCCCCCAGGCCTGGCCACCTCTGGACTTGCTCTGCTTCAGCCGGGATCCTGCTGTCTAACCTCCACTCCTCCCGCTGCAAAGTCAGCTCCTCCTCTGTGCAGGGAGTGCGAGCGCCTCCGGAGACAAAACCCAATCAGAGCTCCCTCCAGGAAAGTGGCTACAGTCATCTGCACCTCATCCCTGCCTCCAAACAGGAGCTTCCCACTTTTATGGGGGAGGGGTGTGTCTCTTTCCAGGAGCCCTTGGTCCTCCTCCCTACAGTCCAAGTCTGAGTCCCTCCTCTTCCCCCTTTGACCAATGGGAAGTCCCTCCGGCTGTCTAACCTTCATCCCTCCAGCTGCAACATCACCCCGGAGCTCGGTGAGCTCTCCCTCCCCACCCCTTCTGCCCTCCCTCTCTCCTCCAGGTCCTCGGCTCCTCATCCCCGCAACGATGTCCTACTTCGCTCGTCCTTGCTCTCGCCGCTGCGGTCGGGAACCGACACAGAAAAGGCAGTGGGTCCCGTGACCGTCCCGAGACCCCCGCGTTCCCGGCCAGGGGGCGGGGGCGGCCCCAGGGAAAGGCGGGGCGGGGGCGGGGGTAAGAAAGGGGGTTTTGTGCTGCGCCCGGCGGGCCGGCGCCCTCTCCCGAGCATCCTGCGGGCCCTGCCTCTCCGCGCGTCCGCGCAGTCCCCGACGCAGTCTCCGCGGCAGCCGGAGATCCGAGCCGAGGACCCAGAGGCCCCTCCGGAGGAGGTGACAAACTTCGCAGTGCCGCCCCCGGCCCCGACTCTCGGTAGGTGAGTGTCACCGCGGCCCGGCCACCAGTCCTGGGAGGGAAGAGAGAGAAGGGAGCGCCGCCCCTCCTCCCCTGCCGCCCTCGACCGGACCCCGCAGCCCTCCGCTCCCAGGCACCCAGCTCCCCGACCCCTGACACCTTCGCGAGGTCCGCGGCCGGCAGCCCCGAGCGCCCCTGGCTCCTGCGAGCTCCGAGCTACACTCGCCAGCTGCGCCACGGGTACCCCCACTGCTGCTGGCCGATGCCATCAGCAACCCCCGGGCCAGTCGGCTACAGGGAACGCCCCCTCTGGGTCCTGCGTGCTCCCAGCCCCGCACTGCCGCCCCGGGGTTCCGACCTTGTCCTGGGCATGGCTGTGGCCATCCGGGCCAACCCCCGATTCCATGCCCGCCTTGGGCGCCGCGGTGCGCCGCGGGAGGAGCGCTGGCGGCAGCCCTGTCGGGGGCATCCCCACAGTAGCCGGGTGCCCACTCTGGAGCTGGAATCCCAAGTTTGCCACTCACTTGCTGTGTGACCTTGGGTGAGTTAGCCGACCTCGCTGAACCTCGGCAAGGAGGCAGAAGCAGTATTTTTCTCACAGGGAAGGGTATCCTTGGCAAGCATCTAACAGGAGGCCTGGATCAGCTAGGTGATGGCTCACTGTTAGCTAAACGCAATACGGCTCCCGCTTTCCTTGCGGGCATGGCCAGGGGACTGGGGATTCCTCCTGTGGGGATTCCCACGTCCCTCCCTCCACCCCCTCAGAATAGCTCTGCCCACATGGTTCTTACAGACCCAGAGACCCGCGTCAGTTTCGGGGTATGGCTGTTGGCGGCATTACCCTGATGGCACCACCCACAGCGTTACCCCTGCCTGTGTTAAGGCCAACTTGGCCGTTGCCAACCACGTCATGCACCTTCCAGATTTTATTCAGGGAGAATCTGCAGTGGCTCAGCTGGTGATGTAGCTAACACTGTTATTAGCTGTGTTCCAATAAATAGGACTTTTCGAAGAGGATTGCGGTGGCTCCCGCAGGCAGAAAGTCCTCGCTGATTTTGTGTGGATTCTTGTGGCTCTTCACCCAGCTGCAGAGGGCAGAGCTGAGAGCGCGCCTCCTGCGCCTCCCCTGCTGACCCTGCCTGGTGCTGGCGCTCCGTTGCCATGGGAGGCCTTGGGCTGTCAGCTGGTGGGCACTCAGCGTGGAGATGGTGGGCGTGAGGAGTGTGTGCGCATGCGCACACGCAGCCTGGTCTTGGGTCTCCGGATTGGCTCTGCAGAGCCTGTGAGGCAGATGGGTGTCAGTGGTCAGAGGAGGAGACCACAACGCAGCAACAGGAAAGTTTCCTGAACAGCTTGAGAAACTCAAGACAGGGGCAGATGGCCAGAGGCCAGAGCAGGAAACAGAGCTGGGGCGAGAGAGAGGGATGGTTGTGGCGTCAGGGGACGGGACGAGGGCTGTGGAGTCCTTGGTAGAAAAGGAGTTCCCGAGTCAGCTGTGGGGGAAGCGGAGGGGTGGGTGGAATGGCGAGGCCGAGGCCGGGACCCCCGGCCCCCAGGTCTGGAGCCTGGTGCAGGGAAGGGCCGAGCTCTGCGCGATGCAGGGAGTGGAGAGACAGTGCTCTGAGGACTGCACGGGAGCAGCCTTTTGGCCTTTGTGGTCAGCGCCCCCCGTTCCTGAAGGTGGGGATGGGCTGCTCTGCTTGCCCCAGAGCAGTCGGGCTCTCCCTGCTCCCCCGCCCCTCGCTGCTCTCTCTCTCTCTCTCTCTCTCTCACACACACACACACCATCAGAGCAGAGGTGAAGGCAGTGGTCTGCGGGTGGGCCCAGGCTGACTCCCACTATATGGGTTTCTGGGCCGCCTGTGAGAGCTGGGAGCCAGGTCTGTGAGCAGCTCCAGCGCCAGCCCAGAGAGAGGGGAGGGAGGGCGCCGGGAAGGGGCCTGGCACAGCTCACACGCCTGGCAAACAGCACCGACCCGACAGGCCCTCATGCCAGAGGGTCTCCACCCCAGGGCTCCCAGGCACTCCCACGGCCGAGCCTGGTCTCAGCACTCCTGGATCTGGCCCCATCAAGACCCTCCTCCCTCCCAAGGGTCAGTGGCTGGCTCCTGCCACTCCTCCCCACCTCGGATCCTGACGCCAAGGCTCAGTTTGGAAAACAGCAGTTTCAAGGGGAGGCTGGCGGACCTGGGGCCGAGGGACGTCCCCGTCAGCTGGGGCTCAGGAAAGGGCGTGTGGAAGGTGCAGTCTGAGAGGGCAGAGGAGACAGGGTCTGAGCGAAGAGGCTTCCACGGAGGGAGCAGCCTGATCGCTAGTGATCTTGCCTGAGTCTAACCCTCATTTCTCCTCCTGCATCGCAGAAAAGCAGAGTTACAGAGAGGCAAAGACAGACAGAGAGAGGTCTTCCATTCTCTGGTTCACTCCCCAGATGGCCATGGTAGCCAGAGCTGGGCTGATCCAAAGCCAGGAGCCAGGAGCTTCCTCCGGGTCTCCCATGTGGGTGCAGGGGCCCAAGGACCTGGGCCATCTACTGCTTTCCCAGGGCATAGCAGAGAGCTGGATTGGAAGAGGAGCAGCCAGGACTCTAACCAGTGCCCATATGGGGTGCCAGCACTGCAGGCGGCGGCCTTACCTGCTACATCACAGCACCACCCACCTTCCCCCGCCTAGCCCCATTCTTTTCTAAGGCTAGCCCAACCCTAAGGATGCTGTTGAGCCCCAGTTCTGAGTGCACACTGGCCCGCTCCCTGGCTGGGCTTTGAAGGGGACCCAGGGCCGACCCTGTGGGCCCCAGTGTCCATTCCTCAATGTCACACCCACCCCACCCCTCCGCTGAGATCTTCGGAAGAGTCCTCTGGCCTCTAGAGCTGCTGATAGCTGGGCGTAAGGGGGAGTAGCCCTTCCTATTCGTTCTCACCCCCTTCGTCTCCCCTTCCTGCCCAAGGCTCTCACAAAAGGTAGGGTGGGGGAGAGAGAGAGGCTGGAAGGAGGCCAGACTGGCAGAGACAGGGGCTTTGTCCCAGCTGGTGTCCGAGCCAGGAGATCCGGTGGGAAAGCCCGTGCCAGGCAGAAAGGAAAGGCTGGGAGGGAGAAGGGAGGAGGCAGCCGAGGAAGGGAGCCGGAGGACGCTGGGGAGTAAAGAGAAGACTTTCCTTATACGTAATGATGGGAAGGAGGCGGCGGCTGGGCTTGGGAGAGGCTGGGCATTGCCTGACTTCAATCCAGGAGGCCCTCCTGGAGGAGGTCGGGTGGCTACTGTGCCCAGGGAAGGAGAGACAGCCAGGAGAGGTTGGAAGGGGTCACCGTGGGGTAAGGAATCCTTCCCTCTCTAGTTCAAGGGAGAGGCCTGCTCGGGGAGAGACAGGTGAAATTGTAAATATAGTTGCAACCTCCATTCATGCTGTAAGCATTTATTGTGTTCCTACTATGTGCATTTGTAGTTTTTAAAGACTATCTACCTATCTGGCTATCTATCACCTATGCATCGCTCTCAAAGCACATAGTAATGCTGCTGCTCTTCTGATAAGAAAACAAAGGCCCAGCAAGGGGAGAGCCCTTGGCTCGGTCATACAGTGAGTTGACTAGGACCCAGATCTTGGCTCTGAGGAGGGATCCCTTGGCAGGGAGACAGGAATCAGAAACAGAGAGCTAACAGTGAATGGGGGCAGTGGGCTTGTGGGGCCAGCTTGTGTATGGTGGGAAGCCAGGGGCGGTCCATCCTGCAGTCTAACCCCATCTTTCCTCCGCAAGTCCCTCCACCGGCCTGCGGCATGGCCCCACAGCTTCTGCCCCTGCTGGCGGCCCTGGCCCTGGCACAGGTCCCTGCAGCCTTAGCTGATGTCCTGGAAGGGGACAGCTCAGGTAAGCAACCCCAGTCAGGGCCGCTGTCTCTGGCTCCTGCATCTCCCCTGTGGTGGTGGTGGTGGGGCTCTTGCTCAGCCGGAACCAACTGCTTCCAGCCTCCGGGACCTGGCGGGGAGAGAATTAGGACTGTGGGGAAGGGCTCTGGCTGGACACTTGGAAATACAGGATGAGGTGTGGGCCCCTGGGAGGGTGGGAATATTGTGGGCGGGGCTAGGGAGGGGCGCAGGTGCAGGACTGCCGGTCCCTGGGGGGCAGGAGGAATGGCGCAGGGAGGCGGCAAGGAAGTAGAACGGGAGAAACCCTGATGGAGACTGGGAAAAGAACACATTAGGAAATGTTGAATCGGGGCTGGAGGCTCCAGGAGGTGAAGGTGGAGGAGGGTCTTCCGGGGAACCCTGGGCCGGGGGTGGGGGGGAACTGGAAGGCTCTGGAAGCACTGCAAGGATGCCCACCCAGGCCTGGGAGGCAGCATTAGGGGAGGTCGATGGCGAGGCTGGGGAATCCGGGAACCAGGCGGGGTGCGGGGAGGCTGCCTGGAGCCCGGCTCGGACTCCGAGGCCGCGCTGTGGGACCCGGCCCACCGCACAAAGTGCCAGCCGACCCTGCCCA